CTCTCAAAGACGGAAAATAAATCTTTTGAGAAAACTAGCAAACGTGTGAAATTGCAAAAATTAAAGAAGGATTAAAGATACGAGATCAAAGGATCTAAAGAGCAGAAGTATAGAAGTTGTGGTTTAGTCGGGGCGGCGAGTTGTGGTGGTCAAGGCGGCGGGCTGTGGTGGTCGAGATCGCGGCGGGATGTGGTGGTCGAGATGGCGGTGAGCGGTTGTGGTGGTCGAGGCGACGGCGGGGGCTGTGGTGGTTGAGGCGGCGGCAGCGGGCTGTGGTGGTCAAGGCGGTGGGCTGTGGTGGTCGAGATGGCGGCGAGGGGTTGTGGTGGTTGTGGCGGCGGAGATATGGTTATGGAGGAGATTTGATCTTGATCTTCAAGAGATTTTGGTTGATTTGGGTTCAAAATCGTAAATCTAGGTTTTCCAATAATTGGTAGGTGACTACGGGAGCGACGGCTGCAGATCTTGGCCGCTTGGGTTTGAAGGTTGCTGCGTTGACGGCTAGGGTTGTGTGTTGTTGGCTGCTAGAGTTTGATAGTATACCGTAGTAGACCATAGAATACCGTACCATAGTCTACTATAGTATTACAATAAATAAAATATTAAAATATATATATATATATATATATATATATATATATATATATATATATATATATATATATATATATATATATATATATATATATATATATATATATATATATATATATATATATATATATATATATATATATATATATATATATATATATATATATATATATATATATATATATATATATATATATATATATATATATATATTGAATTAACAAAAACGAAAAACAAGTTTAGTTTTGAAATTTTTAATAATATTGTAGAATTTTTTTTTAATAATAGTGTAAAAACGATAGTACACCATAGAACAACATAGTACACCATAGTATACTATAGTATTTTTAAAATCTGCTGAATTATTTAACGAAAAGAAGAAAAAAATCGTAATTTTCAAAAAAAATGTTATAAATAAGGAAAAAAAAATATTTATAATAATGTAAAAAATGCATAGTGAAAATTGAAAAAATAAACATGAGTGAAAGGGAATTTTTGGAATGAATTTAATAAAGGATGTGAAGCAAATGTTTAGTTGAGCTTGTCATTTAGTTCTAATTAGTTTTGTCACTAGGGACCTATATCTTAAGAACCCAAATAAAATAAACAAATAATTAAAAAAAAAATGAAAGGCTTGCAAAAAGTAGACAAATACTTTGCAATAACTGCAAGACGCCTCTATGCTCCCGTCCTCCATAACCGCTCTAGTGAAATATGTTGGGAATCAGGCACGTGCACGCAGCGGAAAACAAAAAAATTATATGAAAAACGAATTTAATAATACAAACATGTGCTCAATTATAGCAATTAATTGCGTACCTTAATGCTTCCAGCACAAATTATAAACAAACATGCATATAATTAATTTGCTAATAAAATCACGTACCATGCTCGCAGTAAATCAAAAGTCATACACAAACAATTTCACAGAATCATTCAAGTAAAATTCATATTGCATGTATAAACATACTATTTAATCGTATTAAACTAATACATGATAATTAAAATCGGATCCGAAAATACCTCTTGAAGCGTGAGGCAGACTATCGGATTCGACAAAAACTGCCACGGAAACCAATCCGTGCAGTCGGGAGAAGCGGCGGCGACGGAGGCGCGGGGCAGCGGCCGCGCGTGTTGTTCACGCGTTGTCTTCGGGTGGCGCGTGAGGGCGCGTGCGGCGACGGGATCTCAGCGATTTGACTCCTTTGTCTTCCACCTCTCGGATTTTACCTCATACACTGAATTCAACTGATACGTAACACTAGACACACAAAATTCAATATAAACGGAAGAATAAAGCAAGGATTAGAACTACCGAAGATTTAACGGCGCGTGGGCGCCGATTTCCGGCGACAACGGAGATGGCAGCCGACGTGGGTGAGCGGCTAGGGTTTTTCTTTGTTTGTGCAAGACCTATAAATCTTGTATTTATAGTGTCTTGTATACAAGCCCTATCAGGCTTAAGTTGGATCGGGCCCAACAGCTTAAGCCCGTTAGTCTTTCTTTGCTCGTTTCTCATAAACCAATAATCGAAAAATTATAACAATTTTATTTTCAGAATCATTGAAATGTCCTGGTCGATAAGAATGCCAATTCATGATTTCCAATTTCTAAAACTGGAAACCCTAATTTAGTAAACCTGCTAAATTTGGAAACTTCCCAATTTAGAAAGTTCAATAAGATAATCGCCTAGTTCTTTCCTTTTCTTATTCTCATTCATAATTTTCAATTATGAATGTTGGACTCAATAGTATTGACTTCCAATTAAGCAAAGATTAAACATTTCTATCTTTGACCGTTTCAATAAATTCGAGTACACAAGCAGTGTGACCCTCGATGGTTCAGGTGTAAGCTAGTCGTGGGCCTAATTCTTTGTGGTTTAAACTCGTCCCTAGAGTTATAATTAAGATGAATCTCGTTTCAACTTAATCACCCAACGAATCAAGATTGGCGTCTAGCAACTAAGCATCATGATTCCCTAGATACAAATGAAGTGCCTGCAAGAACCGTGTGATATAGTTAACGTACCGTACGATCCCTTCGATACATATGTCCCGATTGAACTAGAGGTATTGGTTCATCGAGACCTCCTTTATAGTTCAATAACTGTGCGATCGTTCTAAGTGTTGTAATCGGTTCGTGTATGACTTAGAGAATCACATTACCTAATCATCACTTAGTCAGCTCTGGCCAGAGAAATAATGATTACAAACTATGAGAACACACATGACATCCAAGACTATTCTAGCGACCGAATCCCCGACTACAATGTACAAACCTCCCACTAGATTTCAGACTGCACGAACAATGGCCCTTGGGGCGGTCCTCTGTGGAACTCAGGGACATGTCACGATACAGCTGGCCCTCTAGTGATGTCACGGTGATGTCTAGGTCTTAAGGACTAATGATGTACAACTATATCATAGAGATCTCTACTCGATTATTGAGAACCACTTAGAAATTTCTAGGATGAGGGAGTTCAATGAACTCGTCAACTTACGAGCACCCACTTATGTATGCCGATATCACAATACCGTTTACTGATGAGACGCAATACACATACACTGAGTGATAGTCTCTAATGGGAAAGACCAATATCATCATTGGTGGCGTAACCCGTCGACTAGGAACATGGTTTAACAGTTATATTACTTAAGTAAATATCTCATGATCCTACTAGATCAAATATAAGCAATTATAATAACTGTAAGGACTATATCTATGTTTATGCAATGGACAAAGATATAGAATGACAAAAGTTGTTTTATCATTAATACGGAAAATGATTATTTATTACAATAATAAATGAAAGACCACAACCACAATAATAAATGAAAGACCACAGACCATAACCATAAGTCGAATTTTTGTAGTTCGAGTAGATGTAGTTTTTGGTTGACGAGAACAATTAGGCTCATACATTTTCTTATAGTGATATAAAAGACAATCATTATCAGCAAAACTAAATGAAAGTGATCATACTGCAATAAATCTAGCTCATTCTTCTCTAACTACTGTTTTTAAAATTTTAAAAAGTTGAGAATCGGTACCTCCCTGTGACGAATTAAATCGTATTTGTGTTTGAGTTTGGTCGTGGCCGAATTCCGTCGGATGTTTGGTCCTCAAATGCTTACAAAGGTCCCGTGCCCATCGCCCTTTTTCCACGCGTATGATTTAGGTGCACCCTATATATTAAAAAAAATATTAATACACTTGCTAAATAAAATAGATAAATAATTTAAAAAATAAAAGGCTTGCAAAAAGTAGACAAATACCTTGCAATAATTGCAAGACGCCTGTATGCTCCCGTCCTCTATAACTGCTCTAGTAAAATGGACACGAAACATTTCGGACTTTGCTTCCATATCATTCATTTGGGATCCTCCACCAAGTGATGATTGAGTCGGCGTAGTAGATGGCGTAGGAGATGTCCTAGGGGCCTTCGATTGCCTTGGCTTAGGTGGCACTCCGGTCGCCCTGCTAGGATGTGGTACCTCGATCGGCTCATCATCATCATCATCGAAACTAAGAAGTACATTTCGATAACTCATAGTGTGAGATTCGAGTTTGGGAATTGATTGGTGTTGCCAATCATCGGAACAATCCCACTCCAATTCGGGAGGGATTACGCCTTTTCCCTTTCCTCGATTATCACTAGAACAGATTTTTTTAGAGTAACGAAAATAAAAACAAAAATTAAAACTTGGAGAGAAAAGCGAGAATGCTCGCAAATTTAACCGAGAATAGAAACACTTAAGATTTGAGAATTGAGAGAGTAGAGAGATTTGCGAGTGAATTGGTGAGAAAATATGGGGGGAGGGGGGTATGTGGGTAAAAATAACAAATATAAATAAAAATCATGCTCAAGTCTGGCTCGCACCTAACGGTCGGCGATACCCGGGCCTCCATCTCAAACGGTCAAATGATCTTGACCGTTGAAAAAAATATAATAAATAAAAATTAAAAGTTTGAATTATGTTAGACCAGGTCCAGGTCGGTATCGAGTGGACTCGAGAAAATGGCTGTTGCAAATTTAAAAATAAATAAAAAAATTGAATTTTCGGACTGGGTCTAGGTCGGGTCCGGTTTGTAGCCATTAAATATTTAAAATTTTAAAAAATATATTATTTAATTTGGGTGGATCTGGTCTGCATAAATAAGACCCGAAACTGACCCATGCTAACTTGGGGCCGGTTCCGGGTCCAAGGTGGTCGGGTCGGGGCCAGGCGAGGTGGGGCGGATCTTTTTCCGGGTCAGACTCGCCCCGTGGTTATGTCTACTCCATTAGATATCATTCTTCAAAAATAAAAATAAAACTTAAATAAATTAAAAATAAAATAATAAAATAAAGGTTTAAATTGGGTGGAGCTTCCAAATACAACGGGGCCGGCAAAACGACGTCGTATTGGTATTTCCAGCTATCACGCGGACACTAAATTCTATTCTACACTTTCGAGAAATGTTTAACAAAATCAAAAGGAGGAAAAAAAACAGAAAGAAAAAAAAAACAAAGAACAATAAAATCATTTATAACAATCCAAAATTCACGAGGAAGAGAAAATCATAAATTTTGTATTACGAGGATTAATGGATGCTTCAGGTTAGTTTCTCTGCAATTGTTTTTTTCCCCCTAATTATTTTCAGGATTCGAGCTTCTGTGTATAAATCGTAATTGTTGATTATGTTTTCGTACGGATATTTAATTTTCTCTATAAATAGTTACAATCTGCTTCCTGTTAATTTCAGACGTCCTCAATTTCTTTTGTTTCTTTTTTTTTTCTGAATTAATGTTGGAATAAAAACCCAATTTTATGATGAACCCATCCGCCAATTCAATCTGCTTCTGTCTATGATTAATGAATTTGTTGCTCTATTGCCTTTGGTTTGTTTTTGTTTGAATTGAAGTTTGAAATATTAAATTGAGGTACATTATTTCAGTTGGGTGTTTCGGCTGATTTTTATGCTTTTGCTTCTATCTCTTTTTTATCAATAGTTCAGGAATTTTATGGTGTATGTAATGCTGAATGTGGAGATTGCGTGTCGATGCTGAAGAAAATAGCCGAATTATTGTTATAGAGTCTCCGTCGAGGGTTTTGTAAAGTTTGGGCAAGACCGTGAGAGATGGACAAGAAAAGAGTGGATGAACAAGAGGCAGTGCCTGTTGCACTGCCTAAAGTCGATAGGTTTGGATTTGTGAAGCAGGAAACTAACTCTCCCGATGGGTTAACGAAGAGCAGATCCGCTCGGGAGTATGAGAGGTATGCATCTTTATTTTTTTAAGCATTTAATTTTTCTATATTCTGATGTTGCTTTGATTATCGTATCGTGCACTTTGGTTCCGATAAGCTAAGATGATCGATGAGTGATATTGATTGCTCCTTCTATTATCATGACATATAGTTTTATGGGTAATTTATGTGATTTTTCAATAGAATGCATGGCTATCATCTTTTTCACTAATTTCCGAGAATATGGGTGAATTTTAAATTTTCGTCAACTAGGCAGAATTTGATGAAAAAGGTTTATATGACAGAAAGTACATTTGAGTGTGTGATTTTATTTTAATGAGCTGCTAAAAGCCGAATGTTACACTTCGGAAAAACGATGAAAGTGTTGGTTCTTGCGCGAACATGATTTATATTGAGATATATGTTAGCCACTGACGATTACAAAAATGAGGCTTTGTTAAAGAAGTTTATATCGTGATAGTTTCTAAACCGAGAAAACCTCAGATCTAAGTATGACCAAATAATTTATCTAATAAGAAGACACTCTTGGCATTAAACTTTGCAAGTTTCCAAGAGATATTTATTCATTAAAAAATAATAAAAATTTGATAAATGAAAAAGACTTACATGAAGGTTTCGCTCTTTGAATCCTATGGTTTTTGGCTGTCTTTGTACTTAAATTTTGAACATATAACTAAATAATTTTCCGCCGAACTAACTATAGTGTACTTAGAACTGGAAAAGCTACATTTGAAACCAAGTTGAATTTAACGACTCAAGTAAGGCTGAATTTGCAGTGTGAGAGAGAGAGCCTGATGTACATCCAGGAGTGTTATACTTTCTTTGTTCAGAACTGGGTTGCTGAATTTCCTTCCAGATGGTTTATTAATGCTTTCCTCAAATCATAACACGATCACTTTAAATATCCAATTTTCAGGGAGGAAAGAAGAATTAGAAAATGGAGAAAGATGATAGGGGTCGGTGGAAGTGATTGGAGGCATTATCTTAGAAGGAAACCGCATGTTGTTAAAAGAAGAATAAGGAAAGGAATCCCTGATTGTCTAAGAGGACTCGTCTGGCAATTAATCTCTGGCAGTCGGGACCTCTTGCTCATGAATCCAGGTGTCTATGAGGTAATTTTTATTTTATTTTATTTTATTTTATTTATTTATTTTTATTCTTTTTTTTTTATTACATGTGGAAGCCCCTTTTGTTGCATGTCTGCTGTAGAATATGACTTGCCAAAAAAAAAGGTTAATGCCATATATACATGTCTCATCGATTTAGTGTATTACGTTATTCTTCATTGTCTGTTCTGCTCCAACTGATAAATATTATACGTATTGTAGCTAGTCGATCATACACTCATACTTGTTCTATTTTTGATGCAGCAACTAGTCATCTATGAGACATCTGCATCAGAGCTTGATATTATACGAGATATTTCTCGAACATTCCCTTCGCATGTTTTCTTCCAGCAGAGACATGGGCCGGGTCAAAGATCCCTTTATAATGTTCTGAAAGCGTATTCCGTATTTGACAGAGATGTTGGTTATGTGCAGGTTTGTTGTTATCCACTTCACTGTCATAATATTACCGAAGCTAAAGGTTTTTGTCGCTCGTATGTTAGTACTGAAGTCAAGTTCGTTTGGTTTGCAGGGAATGGGATTTGTGGCGGGTCTGTTGCTCCTTTATATGAGTGAAGAAGATGCATTTTGGTTATTGGTGGCGCTATTAAAAGGAGCTGTTCATGCTCCAATGGAAGGATTATATTTGGTATAGTTTTAATATTAAATTTCTTTCGTCTTTGGATAGTCTACGAATTTCTTGATTTCTTAGAAAATGTGCAGTAATGAACATATTTCAAGTTGGTGAATACTCGAAACTTTTATTTCAGGCGCTGCAAAATTTAGAGATTCAATGAACAAATGAACTGAATCATGGTTTTTATTTTCGGATCGAATTCTTGAAACTCTTCTAGTTAAAAAAATGTGACGGAAGATGGTACTACATGAGCACTTTCTGTGCATCCCAATTAACTAGATGTTCTTCGAAAGTTTTAGTAATTATTGTCGTGTCTCGGAAAATTTGGATTAGATTATATAATTATTATTCTTTGCTTCTTGAATGTAATTTGTTTACAAACTATAATGCTACAAATTACATGTTTGAAGACCTATGATTGCACCTCTTTGAGCTGAAACGGTTGTTAACTGTATATTATATTAATCTTGTGAATTCGCATTAATTTTAAATCACTAATAAACTCGTGCGAAATAATTCATTGCAGGTTGGGTTGCCTCTTGTGCAACAATATCTTTTCCAGTTAGAGCAGTTAGTGAGAGAGCAGTTGCCGAAACTGGGAGATCATTTTACTCAAGAAATGATAAATCCCAGCATGTACGCAAGCCAGTGGTTCATAACGGTTTTCTCTTACTCGTTCCCGTTTCATTTGGCTCTCAGGATTTGGGATGTGTTTCTTTCCGAGGTTTGTTTACTCATCTCTTTTTTCGTCTTAGTTTATTACAAGGTCAACTGCCGATTCTGAATAGTCAATGTTTTTGTTTTCTTTCTCAGGGTGTTAAGATTGTGTTTAAAGTTGGTTTAGCTCTACTGAAATACTGCCACGACGATTTAGTGAGTTTTATCATCCTCTCTGACAAGTAACATCTCGATACGGATTTATTTTCTAAATTTTGTTTTTACGTCAACAGGTGAAGTTACCTTTCGAAAAACTCATACATGCGTTACGCAATTTCCCCGACGACGCAATGAACCCTGATATGCTACTACCAATGGCCTATTCGATAAAGGTTTGTGCGGCTACTAGAAAGATTTCAAATATTTATCAAGGAAAAAAGAAGGGCATATATATATAGCTCGTAAATTTGTCGACTTGTTAGTTAATAAATAGCTGTATGTATCGGATTGTTTTTTTGTTTCTTGAAAACTGGGTTAATTTGTTGATTTATTTAGGTGTCGAAGCGATTGGAGGAAATGAAGGAGGATTATGAGAAACAAAAGGGGAAGCTATCGGAAAGTGTTAAACAGAAGCAATTGCAGCCATCTTGAATAACATAATTCCCCAATTTCACCCTATCTGTCTAAATTTGTGAATACTATTCGATTCTTTTATTCTTTGCTGCTCTAAACTAGTAATCAGTCCGTCGACGACTTTGTACATATATGTTCGCCCATCTTGCAAAATCGAGCCAAATTTCTTTAGAGATATTGGACAATTTTTTATTTCTTTTTTGATTTTTTGATTTTTATTTTTTTGAGTTAAGCTGTCGCCTGTCAGCTTGATGAAGTACATCTGCCTGCTTGAAGAACTTTTTTTTGAACATGAGATTGTTAATATGAAAATAGTAATGCCATTGAAAGGTTTTTGTTTTTGTTTTTCTTATTTTTTTTTATTTTTTTTTTATGTAAGGAATTAATATTTATTTTATTCATCAAATTGAAAGAATTGCATCAAAATGCTGAAAAAATAAGTTGAGTATCGGGGAAAACGGTCTTTGCGGTTTTTTGTTTTCGAGTTTCAAGTTTCAGATTTTGGGTTTCGGGTTTTCGGATTCAGGGTTCGTGATTATTGCGAGTGCAAAACCGTATCAATTGAAGAATTCTATTAATACAACTTGATGTACGTCCGACATTTATCGAAATAGGTCCAATTTACACCACAAAAAGAACATTGTCTGCCAATTTTTACATACAAGAATAATTGTTTTGAAGAAAACAGAAGCAAAAAAAAAAAAAAATCGAAAAAAATGGAAATAAAAAATAAAGAATATCTACGATACGTAATACGTCCGTCCTCTTGTGCTTTACAACATAACCTTGCTGAACAAATAACACACAATCACCACACTGTAATTTTGTGATTGTTGGAAAAGAATGTTGGTCCTTAATAATAGTGCAAAATCAAGAAAATATTAATCTTAGGTTATGATCATAGCTCAATAGTTTCTCGTGCTCTCTGAACTTTTGTCAGTATCGTAGTTATCTCGTTGCGGATCCAATTCACTGCTACTCGCTCGGGTTTTTTTGTGCCTTCGATCCTGTCAACAATCACCATTTCCGTTTATATGCAATTATATATAAGTCTTTCAGACAAAAGGAATCACAGTTAAACCTCTCTATAAATTAATACAGTCGGGATTAGGGAAAGGCGACGGCTAAAACGAATACCGTTTCTTTCTCAATTCAATACCACCAACAGAAAAAATAGAAAAAATAAATAGGTAATGACGTTAATGCCCTTAATAAAATCAATACCACACAAATTTTGTGTGTGATATTGATTTTCATTAATGGTAATAATGTCATTACCTATTTATTTTTTATTTTTTATGTTGGTGGTATTGAAGTGAGAAAAAAAGGGTATTTGTTTTAGCCGCTGCCTTAGGGAAATTCTATTGATTTAGCGAATTATTAAATTATCGAGTTAATAATTTAACACGTTTTCACCGAGTCGGGACCGAGAGAAACTATTATCTAATCGAGATTATTAATTTATCGAGGTTCTACTGTATATCATGCGCTAGCATTGGCCTATCGTAAAATAATATCGAAGCAACATTAAAATGCAGACTGACCTCTCTTGGAATGGGATATTCTTCGGATTCGAGCATTCGGACAACTTGAGTCATCCTAGGTCTCTTATTAGAATCTGGGTCAACGCATCTCAAAGCGGTCAAAAGTGCCCTTTTGAGAACTCGTGTAGATGGCCTCGTTTCGATACTCGGATCCACCACTTCCTCCGACCGCCTACTTCCCACCATCATTTTCAGCCAGTCGACCAGATTTACCTGCATTTTATGTATCCGAAATGTTTTAATAAATGAAATAATTTAATATATTAAATATTATAGAAGAGACTACTGCATAAAATAATAAAATGGGTTTGACTACAAATTATTTTCTTTTAGCAAGTTACATAGAAGGTAGACTCGAGCATATTTATTAAAGACGGTACTTACAGCAAAGATCGATTTTTAGTAAAAAAATAAGTAAAGATTGGGTTTTTAATGGCAATATTAGTAAAAAATCAAGCCAAAAACTAAGGTGCTAAAAATAAATACCTCGGGAGCAGGACGCCCATAGTCGACTGGATCTCGTCCGGTAATTGCTTCCAATAGTAGAACCCCAAAGCTATAAACATCACTCTTTTCGTTTAAAAGGCCACTATTTGCATATTCCGGAGCCACGTATCTTAAAAATATAATTCGAAAAAAATAAAAAGGCAAGTCAATTAAAAGTTATTCGAAAGAAAGAAAACAAGAACAAAGAAAAACGAAAGATTTTGAAAACTAACCCGAAAGTACCCATAACACGAGTAGTGATGTGACTTTTTCCAGCACCGAGCAGCTTAGCCAGACCGAAATCAGATACCTTAGCATTGAAGTCTTCATCAATAAGAATGTTGCTCGACTTAATATCTCGGTGAACCACTTTCGGCTCGATTGCCTCGTGCAAGTACGCAAGACTGCAAAAGGGTCCCACATTATTGCCGAATACAAGATTTACAATCGAAGATTTCTTTGAACGAAAATTTGAAAAAAAAAAAAAAAAAAAAAAAAAAAGACTTACGCTTTAGCGGTGCCGAGAAGGATTTTGGTCCTTGCCTCCCAAGTAAGAGATCCGTGGTGACGCATAGCTCCATGTAGCCATTGTTCTAAATTGCCATTGTTAACATACTCGTAAACTAGCATCCTGTTTTTTTTAAGATTGAGTCAAACGAGACGAGTTTAGAATGTATAAAAAGATTTCAAAATCCATAATAATAAATCCCATTGCGCTTGTTTGGATAAATTCGTTTTCGGTTGCATTTCAAATCCTTATCTCTCATTTTAATTATTTTTTTTGAGTCATTAAAGTGGGATTCGAAATCATTTCCTAAATCCAAATCATTCAATCCAAAATGCACTCGTAAAACAAAATCTTGATCAAAGCAATCAATACCTATGAGTTCCTTCAATACAATACCCCAAAAGCCGAACCAAATTTTTGTGTCGAACATGGCCAATAGCTTCAACCTCCACTCCAAATTCCTTCTCCGCTTGACCTCTGCGCAAATTAACAACACGAATACATTAAATTTCAAGAACTCGGAAAAAAAGAGCACCCTTTTAAATATTTCAAAAAAAAAAAAGAAAAAGAAATCTAACTCACAAATTATTGAGTAGCTTCTTAACAGCGACAGGTGTCCCGTTAATAAGCTGCCCTTGATAAACAACTCCATATCCACCCTCTCCAAGAATATTATCCTTCGAAAATCGATTCGTAGCAATTTCAAGGTCTCTTAGGGTAAACCAATGACCCCAACCCAAGTGAGAAAATTCGGGCAAACCGTTCAAAGGCGAAGGTGCAGTTATCGGATGCGACGAAGAAGAAGGTTTATACACTGCAAATGTTCCAGAAGAACTCCCTTCTTCCGACCCGCAATACTCTTTATCAATATGACCGAACGAATCCGATTGGCTGATAGTGTCCCCATTTTTCGCTTTCGGCATCTCTAAATGGACCAACACTTTGTCCGATTCCTTATCGCTCAATTTGTCGTGGATTGTGAGAAGAATCCCGTCGCGCGGGACGAACTTATCGGTCGACACATGCTCCACTCTCACTTCTTTAATTTCTTTTGAGTTGGCAGGTATTTGGCTTTGAGGGATCCTTTCTTGGGCTCTTCTCGACTTTTTCCGTGAGGTGAGGTAAAACGTCAATGCGAAGAGAATGATTACTATCAACAAACCGACGATGATTCCGATAACTTCCCACACTTTGAGACCCATAATTCCGATTTTCTTGGAGAGCTCCGCATTGAGATCCGTAGCCATCTTCTAGATTCGACTATCGAACGAAATCGGCACTTCTGTTTTCTAAAGTAATTAGCAACTGCAGTTAGTAGCTAAGTAACTTCTTATCAAAACAACTCAAAAAAGAATAGAATTTCATCATCAACATATTCAACAACACAATGTAAACAAGTAATATCATTCATCATCATCTCTAATCAAGAAATAACAGAAAACAAGAAACCAAATATATATATATAAAATAAATATATATAAAGAAAACTAAATGCAGATAAATAAAAAAAAGATGAGTTTAAAGTGTTTACCTTTGTGGAGGAAACCTTTGAAAGACCAGATCTTGAAAACCCTTTTACCATATCATTTTCACAAACTGCAAGAATTAAAAAAAAAAAAAAAAAAAAAAAAAAAAAAAAAAGAAAAAAGAAAAAAAATGGAGTCTTGAAAACAGATCTCTCTCTGCAGAGAAAGCTCAACAGCAGAAGACCCACATTTTTTTTTCAAGAACCAGCAAAATCTTTAACTTAAAGAAAGGGAACCCATTTCCCCAAAATTGCAAATCTGAATTAGGTTTAAATTTTTAGTTCACCAAATGTAAAATGTGAGTGGTTTTGAGCACCACCACTCCTTCAAAAGAGACACCTGCCCAATTAACAAACAACTAACAACAAACAAAAAAGAAAACAATACTGTAGTTAGTTGCAGAGAGAGAGTTTTAGAAGAGGTGTGCATAGGATGCTTAAGATGGGGCTTGGTAATTAGTGGTGGTGTTTAATATTATTTAGTAATGAATTAATAATTGTTTTTTTTTTTTTTTAAGGAATATGTTTTTATATGAATATGATCATGAATGTGTGTAGTAAATGAATAATAAAATGAGGGGAAGAGAGAGAGAGAGAGAGAAGGAAGAGTGGTGTTGTCAATGGTAGGTGGTGAGAAAATGCTTTGATAACAATTAATTAATTAAATATATTACAAAATATACTAAGAAATATAATTGATTTATTTAACACAAATGTAAAATGGAAGCATCAAGGAAAGGGAGTGTTATAAGTGTCGTTTTAGTTTTAATAATACCGTTTCAACTTTAAACGTAATTTTGACAAATTTTAAGTTTGAATTGAGGCAACTTTTGACAAATTTTGTGTCTGGATTCATGCAAGTTTTAACAAATTTTAAGTCTGGATCTAACTTGAATCATTAAGATTGAATATCAGATGAGAAATTTATTCATGAGTTTGAGATATTTAAAATTTGATAATTTGAGATATTCAAAATTCAAAGCGTAAGTCATTCATACATAACTTTGTCATTTGATATCCAAATCAGCTCACTCAGGTTGAATTAGAAAGCTAACATAAAAGAGCTACGATTTATGTGTATTATATTTTGCCAAAATCATACTAGAAAATGATCAATATCTCATTTTAAGTCAAACAATATTAGTAAAATGAAGACGACATTTAACATTTCAGATCAAGAAAAGAGTCTTTGGCTGGCATCTTTTTCATTTAATTAATTAATTTTAATTTGAAGAACCAAAAAGAAAAAACAGTATGCATTAATAATGAAATATAATAGTAACAACACTTATCATATAACTGCCATATTATTGTAAGCTTTAGAGAGAAATAATGGTGAAGTTGACTGTTAGAAGTAGAAACGTTTATTCTTTTCTTTTTATTTTTTTCCTTTATTACTAAGAGATTTAGATATAATTGAAAAAACTGTTGCCACATGTGTATAGCATTTTTGGACAGATAACTGTCTCTGAAAGTTTTACTACTTTCCAGGGAGATAAGAACAAAATATTGCAGATAAAGTGGGGATTTTTTTTCTTCTTTTATTATTTAAAGAAAGCTAAAGAGAGGATTCAATCAAAGAAAAGCTTAGGCAATGTTTTTGTAGGAAAAAAAAAATTGAGGGTCTGAAATCTGAATCAATTTTAATTGGATATTTAAAATTGAATCAATTTTAATTGGATATTTAAATGAAAAATGAAAAAACTAATAATTCTTGGGGAAATAATAGAGATTAGACACATATTCAATAAAAAAAAATGTATCAATTCAAACTATAAAAAAAAAATTCATGCTTTGAATTCCAAATTAATATTTTGGATTTCTTTATTCTGTAGATCGAAAATATTCTTTGTGAATGGTTTTCTTTTTTTGAATTGTTCACCGTTCCTACTATTTGTGGTGCTAGTATGTCGAGAAAAAAATCATTGTATATTGGAGGTAATTATGCGAAAATCAATGGCTATGTTTGTTAACGTTTTCAAATTCTTTTCACATTTTTCTCAAAATGAAAATTATTTTTCGACACTATTTTCAAAAACTTTCCCCAAAACAAATTCAAATATTTTTCTCTCTAGCAAACATGATTTGACCGCTACAGTGAAAATTGTCTTCACTAAAATACAAGATAAAACCACTTTATCTTTTAAATTCTTCTTTCAAAATACATTTTCCCAACACCTTTCAGACATGATTTGACTTGCTACAGTACAAATTATCTTCTCCCAAAACACAAACAAACTTTATTTAATTTTCAAATTCTTCTCCCAAAACATCTTTCTCCAAAATAAAATGGAAATGCAAGCCCAAAAGCTTACCAAACACAGCCAATGTTTTTGGTTATTAGGCCCAAATGATTATTCTTAATCTGGTCCAAGTAGTTCACTCTCTACTTGAGGTGGTTCGACTACAAAGTCCAGCAAATCCCAAAGCCCATTTGAAGCTCGGTCAAGCCTGTAAGCATCTAGATATTCTGATTTTGATTGTTGTTTTCCACCGTTTGATTTGAGCCAGACATTCTAGGTATTTAAACCTCTAGTCCCTCAGAACCCTAGTTTTTTCGGTTTCGCCTCTCTATCTCTCTCTGATACAAATCGTACCACCACAATTATAGCCCCTTGGCTTTTTCCGGCGTCACAACCGTTTGACTGTGACGATGGACGCTCCTTTCTTTGTCTCTGCTTTAGAGACAATGTGATTTATCCATCTATATATCAAACGTCCAAAGAGAGAGAAGAGAAGTGAGAAACACTCCAGTTTGAATCTCTGTTTTTCTGTGATTTCTGTTCTTTTGTGAACGCGTGAGATCTACTATGTGTAAGGGAAACACGAGAGAGTTCAAACCTGCGAGTTGGAGTTTCTTGGGTGAAAGTTAAGACCAAATCTAAGTGATTTCGGTTAAACCTAGGGTTTCGAGTGACTGTGATTTGCTGGACTGTTGGTGCCACCGCCGATGGATTCTAGACGAGTAAAATAGATAAGGAAACTGAGCCGTAACAGAAAGCTCTTTATAGCTTCACTGTTTGTTTCATATCATAGATCAATTATTGGTTTATTTTATATACCCAAAATTGTAATAGATTAGCATGTTTATCTATTCATGTTTCAGTATGTTCAAACGGTTACCGAACAAATGCTCGTTATTATGCACCGACAAATAATCTTAAATCAAAATTTGTTTGATTTAGTAAAAGACTCTTAATCGCTCGCCGGCAATGTATGTAGAATGGAAGTAAAATTTGTTTGATTTACTAAAATGACCGTTGCTTTCAACTTCCATTCGACAATTTTGTTTTAGTAAAACGACCAATCATATTGGGGAAAGGAAACCAAACTGAAGAACCACATTGAAATTATATTATAAATAGAATGAAAATTCAATATTATTTATCAATGTACCAGTCTCTTTATCCATCAACATACCGGCCTCGACGGTTTTTGGAGCCAACGGCGTAGCACCTCCCTTATCAGCCTTTTTCTTCTTCGCCATAACACAGTTCATGGTTAGGGTTCGAGCGTCGCCGTCGATCTACCCGCCTCATAGGGTTCAACCGTTGTACCTTCAAACCTTGTCAAACCAACTGTAACTCCTCCACCGTCATCCCAACCCCCCTCCTGTCGTAAAATGCAAGGAGAGAGATGCCGAAATAACCACGGAGTCCTATGGCAGCCCAACAATATAATGAGGTCGCTCTCCAACCCTCGAATGAAATTCTTCAAAATCACAACTAGAAGAATCGCACCGACAAGATGAAGCCAACAATATGTACACCGCTCAGTTTCACCAGCAATATATTTTCTATTTTACCCCATTTCTTCCCTCTTTCACCTATATTATGTACAAATTCATAAACCGTCCACTACTAAACTAATTAAAATATTTATAGAAACGCTCCACCATTTTTTACTGAAATATTTACCACAAAGTTTCACTCTCTCCACCTGAAGTGAACAGTACATTTGTCAGAGAAAAACATATCCGAAGGTCAAAAAGAGCAGGTATTTACGTTCTTGAATAAATAAATTAAGAGAGCTTGTATGGAAGGTCACGAACTTCCTCCAGAATCGGTCAGTTTGGCGTAATATAATTTTGTTTCATTAAAAAAGAAAAGTTATATAATCTGCAGGTCATCTGATATGAAAGTTTAAATATATCTTATAATAAATATTTCGTTGCAAAAAAATAAAAAATAAAATATGGAAATTACTTAGAACAATGAGGATTGATCAAATATAAAGAAAGATGATGGGTTAGAAATTCGAACCGTATTTATATTTTTTTTTGGTGGTGAATTGAGATAATTTAGAGTTGGTGTTAATAAATAATAAGCATATCGTCTTACCATAATGAAAGAACAAACATAAACATGTTCGAAAATTCTCGATACATTATGGATCAAAAAAAAAAAAGAAAAAAAAACTCGATGCATAAATGAAAACATATATAATTGGAGACTCTAAAAAAGCGCTGTTAACTTTAACAAAATCGCACTTCCGTTGAAACCGGACAAAATAGATAAATGCCCCCTTTCTTTTATATTTTCCCGCCTACAAATAAAAATGTCTTCTTTCGAATTCTGCTGCTGAAAAGACAGCAATCCGAACGTTGGACCTCAATTTTCACACAACAATTACATCTATGGCTTCACAAATAGGTATATTTATATATACGCGTTCGATCAGGTGATTTTTCAGTACCCATTATTTGGCGTATTTTTAACCAAAATTTAAAATCGGAAATTCAGGTGATCTCTGGGCAAAACTCGTCGAGGAAGAAGCGGAAAATCAGCGGCCAGTTGGACTTCCAGAGCCGGAAATTGCAGTAATTTACCAGAGACAGAAGGCCGATGTTATTATCCCTCAGAAAAACGCACCAAGGTGTGTTTCTGTGTGGGTCAATCTGAAATATTATTTTTTTAGGTTTTTGTTTGTTTTTTATGTGTTTTTTTTTTTGGTTTTTGGCAGGCGGCAATCGAATTCAAGTAGCGAGAATGGGAATCGAAAGAGTCTTGCCCCGGTGAAGCGAGTCAGTTGGAATCGGTCCCTTTCCACTAGGTCTGTGCCCTAATTTCACTGCTTTTTTCTTAATTTGCAAATTTGAAATTTCATGTGGGCTGCTTGTATTCACATTGTGTAAAATGCAATTCTATGCTCCGGATTATGCGTATTGTACGGCTGACCTGCTGTTTTAATTCTTCTACGGTTAATAAATCTCGTCTGTTAGCTTTAATCGAGAGCCCTGTGCTACTGCTGGTTTCATTTGGGGGAAATCTCGACAAGTAATAAAGAGTAATTGTAGTAGTGTCGTATATGTGAGGACTGTTGTCAGCGAGTACCGAAAATTGCGCCGTCTCTAATCGTATTTGAAAAATGAAGATTGTGATGGTGAATAGAAACTTAGAGAAGTTAACTACACGAGCAAAAGAAGATTTAATAATTAATGAAGAACTTCTGATGAATTAAAATTTAAAATCTAGAAGCCTAGGATTATACTCACTCCAATTACTCTGATTTTAGTCGTTAACAAAATCGAATTTCTATTTAACATGTACTTTATTCAACCTTTGAATTATTATTATGAACAAATTAGTGGCCAAGTAATTGAAAGCATTAAAATCGACAACAAATACTCAACTAGATCGGATAAATTTGTGATTAACTGGAAATGAAAATCAGATCATCGCAATATTTGGTTACATCACTATCCTAGATCCGGGCGCCACTTCGGCGTTCTTCCTCACTTGTTGGCTTCTGTTTCATCTATGGTTTCGTACATGACTTGTTTCCGGTCAACCTCGATAGATAAATCAAACTTTGTTACAAAACTACTCATAAACAACACAAATGACGTGACGAAAGGTGCCCATTTCATTGGCCGATATCTACCTTAACTGTTTTGAATATTGTCTTTGTTTATCATTTTATTGTTTTACTTGTGGCATCAGTTTTAGGACCATTTTTTATTTATTAGTTCATAGACATAAAAGAATGGATCATCTCTTGACAGTTTTAAGAACCTCGTTTCCCTACTGACAGAGGAAGGACAAGCATTGCTGCTACTGGATTTGTGGATCATCAACCACAACAAAGAAAACCTAGAAGAAACGCTAAACCACCACTTCCTAAAGTACGGCCGTTTTAAGTTTTTACCCTTTTTTCCCAATTTCCCTTACTACAGTCAAGTCTCGAATTTCATGCATTTAATATAGTTTTGACCTCACCCTTTTTGGTCTGGACAGAAAAAAACCGTACAACCACCCAATTACGACAAAGAAAAAGCATATTTTGAAGAGGTTGATGCCTTTGAATTGCTAGAAGAAAGCCCCTCGCCAAAGAAACCCGGTACTTGGAAAATGGGCGCCCAAGTCGATGATGACGTCGTCATACCGTATTTGTCGTCAGTGTTGCAGAAATGGCTGATCTCCAAGAAACTAAACCAATCATACGCATTCCGTGGCTCACTCTCTCGTTGTTCGCTTTCTAAAATATTGGAAACTCCCGCGTTAGACCACGACCCTATTTCTCACCGCAGTTTTTCGTCTTCAACCACAAAGACACCGAACTATCAAGAATTACCTCTGAGCTTATATTCTATACAGCAAAGGTTTAATTCGAGCTTGAACGATAAGAAGCACCTATCCGGAATGTCGATCCAGGAGATAGACGAAGATATTGAAGTTGCGGTTGGTAAACTGTCTTTGACTTCAAGGCCTTCAATGGCTGGTCACGGTTGGGATTCTTTTTCAGCTCTTTTGACTGCTTGTGGGCAGTCGGTTCCTTCAACACTAGCAGATATGTTATTGAGTTACTGGTTCGTCTCTCTCTCTCTCTCTCTCTCTCTCTCTCTCTCTCTCTCTCTCTCTCTCTCTCTCTACATTATTGTGTATTTTGCTCATTTTTCTCAGTTTATTTACGTTATTTCATGGTCCTGTTTGTATGTCATTGTAATTTCAAGATGTTTTGTCTTTTATCTCTGATTTTTTTTTGTGTGTCCGTAATCGAACTACGAAAGAGAATAACACTTTTAAAAGGGAATACATATTTTTTTCTCTTACATGTACTCCTTCAAGGGCTTATGTAATAGATAGGCTGCTTAAGTCCAGTCTGTATCTCTCCATTCACTGCAAATATAAATTGACTTTCGATATCTTGTTGTCGCAAAAACAGGAAGAAGTCTTGAAATGAATATCGACGTCTTTTGACTGTGCATAATTTACATTTGACAAGAGAGAGAGAGAGAGAGAGAAGTCTAATTTAAATGAAGCTGGAGAACCTTTTTCGGATTCCAGCTTACTTTTCCCATCTAACTCGCATTACTCAGTTCTTGTACTTGTTAAATTAAATTCCCATGACCAGTGTTTTTAGTTTACAAGTGATAGAACAAATTATCATTGTTAAGTTTCGATTCATCCTTCCAACTTCTACGTATCCTCGTGAGCCTACGTTTGATGGAAATACGTTGTTGAAATCAGCGACAGAGAGAATATTACTAAGGTTGGAGAAGGAACATATGGAGAAGCTTTCAAGGTCGGCAATAATGTTTGCAAAATCGTCCCATTTGGTGGAGATTTACGAGTCAATGGAGAAGTTCAGAAGGTATATACATATATTTCTTTTCGGAATCTGGATTAGTTATATACGTATATTTGAGCTTGTTTAATTAGTTAAATTGCAAAGTTTTTTATAATGGTGCATTGATATGCTTCAGAAACCGGAAGAATTATTGGAGGAGGTTGTTCTTTCCTGCACTCTAAATCATCTAAGAGGAATTGACGGTGAGGTATCGAATGCCTGCACTACCTTCATAAAAACAATCGAGTATGTTTTCTTATCCCTTAATCAACCGAATGCTTTTTTTCCATTTGTTGTAATCTGCAGAAAGTTCTATTTTGTTGTTTTTTCATTTGTATATTATTAGAATTGACACCCTACATATTGTTTCGTTTCTCGTTCACATAGTTTGAGGGTGTGCCAAGGATATTATGATGCTTCTCTAATACGTGCATGGGAAGACTGGGATACGAAGCATAGTTCAGAAAACGATCATCCTAAGGAATTTCCTGCAGATCAGGTAATTATATTAGTTTATTGTTTGTCCATTTGAATTTTCTCTATAAATCAGTACGGTTAATTTTTTTTTCCCAGTGTTTTGTCATTTTCGTTCAAGAACATGGCGGTCGAGATCTTGAAAGCTTTGTGCTTTCGAATTTTGACGAAGCACGGAGTTTATTAGTACAGGTAAGATATTCTTCGAATGTATATCCCGTTGCATTAGTTGCTGCCTATTATATATATTGCACTCTGTATCTATATGTTGCAGGTCACTTTGGCATTGGCTGTAGCTGAGGCTGCATATGAATTTGAACACCGAGATTTGCACTGGTTTAGTTCCCATACTCTTAATCAATTGCAGCATATTTGTCATTTTATTTATTAATTTATTTTTACTTTGTTATATTATCTTAAACAGGGGAAATATTTTGTTAAGTCGGAAAGATTCTCGTACTCTGCAATTCACTCTTGAAGGAAAAAAGATTCAAGTCAAAACTTTCGGATTGCTAGTGTCCATAATTGATTTTACACTCTCGAGGATGAATACAGGTTCGTTTTTATTAGTTACTTATTTCCAGATTATGCAGAAATTAATATGACATTATGTAAACAGGGGAAGATATACTCTTTTTGGACCTATCATCTGACCCCGAAATTTTCGAGGGTCCAAAGGGAGATAAACAAGTAAGAACAAATTTAAAAAGTCATAATATTTTTTTTTTTGGTCCTAAATTAAATATTTAATGATCAATTGGTTCACAAAAATTTAAATGCAGGCGGATACTTATAGGAAGATGAGGGATGTCACTGATGAATGTTGGGAAGGAAGGTAAAACTTTAAGAATAACTATACGTTAATCGATCTCAGTATTTGTGATTAGATAACAAACGAGATTGATTCCCTCATAAAAAACCGATGACCAATTTTTTGTTCGGTTAATGATTTATTCACAGTTTCCCGAAGACGAACGTGCTGTGGCTGCAATACTTGGTCGATATTTTGCTATTAAAGAAGTCCTATGTAAGTCTCTCATTAGAAGTTATATGATGTGAACTCATAATCGTAAGTTGTTTGACAAATGAAATTTAATTTCTTATCAGGAAAGAACCTCGAAAAATGAAAGAGAATTACGATCTCTGAAGAAGCGGTTAAATAACTATGGTTCAGCTAAAGAGGCTGCCTCGGATGCTTTCTTCACCGACTTATTGGTCGACGGATAATTAATCGTGGCGCTGGATTTAGACGTTTTTTTCGTTTTATTACTTTTGAAAAACTAATGTAGTGCATTTAGAAACCAACTTGGTTGCTGCCATTAACCTATGCTGGGATTGTAACAAACACAAGATCGATCTAAGGAAAGAGAAGGGACTATCTGATTTTATTGTGAGTTTACGGTATCTAATTTGTTCGGGGAATCAATTGTATGACTCGTTCTTAAGTTACTAATGTATTTGTTGTATGTTTCGTGTATGTCGATTTAGCAAATCAACCGTTTGAAGTTCATATATTTGGCTCCTTTCTTAGCCCCCTTGAGGGGGTTTGAAGTCCATATATCTTAGTGAATAAAGATCTACCTAGGATGAAAATAAGACTGATAGGATATGAATTAGCACTTCAAATAAATAAATAATCATTTTTTTTAAATCGAAAAATTAATTCCAATTTTGTTCCAAAACTAAAAAAAATACTGAAAATCAGAATAATGGAAATTGGAATAAGAAAAAAAATTGTTTCAAAAAATTATCGTATTATAATATACATAATAATATCTTTTATTTTTGTTGACAAACTTTTTCATCATGAAGGTTATTTCTTTCATTTATGCATGTTATAAATTAGTATTTTGAGACGAAAAGATTTTTATTCATAAGTGAGTTTAAAGTACAAAACAATTAATGAAAATTCAAACTCCCAGCATATGTCCTACATAAATAAATTAATATCAACTAACATTAACTAGGGTTCTATAACTACTAGCTACCTACCCTAAAAGCTATATATATCAAGCTTCTAAAAGGCGGTTATCGGGTACGTGGCGGTTAGGGACCGCCACACGATAAATCGGCGCGGCGGTGATTTATCGGAGATAAATTGGAAATATATCGGTTTTTAAATTTAGTGTAATCTTTGAGAGGTATCTAGCTGATGAGGAATTATCCTCTATTGCAGGTGTATGATAACATGTGACTTTCTTGATTTCTTCTATTCAATTCGAAGCAGAGTTGTTGTGGCCCCTTTTATTTAATATAAGCGCACAACTGAAAAACTAGATTTATCGAATAAAAAAAAAATAAAAAAAAAGCAGATTTTAATATTTTTCTCTGCCTTCAAACGACATCGTACCATGTTACAATTAAGCCCCCTTAACCCACATTTGAACCCTAATTGTAACTACCATGATGTTCTTGTATCCACGATTAATTTTATTTCCTCCCAATCTTCTTGATCATATGCATTGTAAATTTTATTATTATTATTATTATTATTATTATTATTATTATTATTATTATTATTATTATTATTATTATTATTATTATTATTATTATTATTATTATTATTATTATTATTATTATTATTATTATTATTATTATTATTATTATTATTATTATTATTATTATTATTATTATTATTTTTAAGGGGTCATTACAAATAAGCCTATCAATGGGTACTTATTCATAAAGAGATGCAGACAAAAAACTCATTTATTAATAAGTCCACACATGGTTCAGATTTTTGTAAAGGACTAAAATAACCAATCTTACTTTAATATGCTCCAATTTCATCTTCAACTTTATTTAACCTCAATTTGACCCCAAATTTCACAAATTATTCAATTTTGACCCAAAACTTTTTTTTTTTCAAAAACTTTTTTTCTCCGCCGAATTCCGGCGTTGACTTTTCAAAAAATAAAATTATTTTCTTTCTTTCTGTAACTTTTTTTTTTTCGTTTAAACAACAATATTGTTGTGATTGACAGTAATATTAACTATCTTACTATTAAACACAGTAAAATTAACTAAACTACAGTTTAACACAGTAATATTGCTATATTAATCTCTAGCACAGTAATATTAACACAACAAAACTCATTATTATTGTGTAATAGAGTAATATTACTATGTTGACCGTTCAATAAATGTAAACATAATAAAAAATCAAAATAATTAATATTACTGTGAGTGACAGTAATATTACTATAACAACAATAATATTACCGTCAACCACAGTAATATTACAATAATAGACAGTTATATTATTACGTTACTCCGTGAATAACTCAAACAAACAAAAAATCCAAACAAAATAATAATATTGATGTGGTTGACAGTAATATTACTATAATAACAGTAATATTACCGTCAACCACAGTAATATTATTGTGTTTACAGTAATATTACAATAATAGACAGTAATATTATTACGTTACTCCGTGAATAACTCAGACAAAACAAAAAACCCAAAAAAATAATAATATTGATGTTGTTGACAGTAATATTATTGTGTTTACAGTTATTTTACTGTCAACAACAGTAATATAATTACGTTGACTTGTCAACAAATCAAACAAAAAAAAAAAACAACAAAAAAAAAATAATAATATTACATTAATTTACTGCCAATGGCAGCACAATTACATAAATGTATTGTCAACGGCAGAACAATTACGTTAATTAACTGTCATTGACAGTATAATTACGTTAATTTACTGTCAGTGACAGCACAATTACGTTCAAAGTTTAGCGGCGGACGTAAAAAAAAAAAAAAAAAAAAACCAAACCAAAAAAAACTTAAAAAAACACTAAAACATGTCAACGCCGGAGACCGGCGAAAAAATCTGAAAGAAAAGAAAAGAAAAAAAAAAGCAAAAAAAAAAAAGTTTAACCGGAGAAAAAATCCGAAAGAAAAAAAAAACAAAAAAAAACAATTTTTTTTTAAAGTCAACGCCGGAATCCGGCGGCAAAAAAAGTTTTTTTGAAAAAAAAAAGTTTTGGGTCAAAATTGAATAATTTGTGAAATATGGGGTCAAATTGAGATTAAATTAAGTTAATGATGAAATTGGAGCATATTAAATTATGCTCCAAAAAAAAGTCAAAATTGAATTTTTGTGGACAAAATTGATTAAATTGGGGTTATAATTAAGAATTGGATATAAATGGTCGAGGGTAATATTGGCATATACATGGATGTTTTATTTATTTATGATAAATATTAAAGGGATGGGCTTATTGGTGAAAGAGATATAGTCCCTAAACCTAGAATAATAAACATGCTTGGTTGAGGACTTATGCACAAAAACCCCTATTTTTTATTGTAGTGAGTTCAATAATATTTCCATATTTTTGTAAAATTTGTTTTTATTGTAAACCAACCATATTTTCCACGTTGAACTACAAAGGATGTCATTAAATGTATATTTAACAAGCATCAAGTGCTAACAATAATCAGCTATCAACCATATTAGCTAATTTTATTTGTAAAATTTGTTTTTATTGTAAACCAACCATATTAGCTAATGCAAAGTTAGTTAATGTGAACTCAACTAATGCATAGTCAGCTAATCAGAGTACCAATGTCCTGTTGTCGGTGACAAAAAAAATTACAAGAAAAAAAGTTGAACTTCAATTAAAAAATTAGATATCATCTGAAAACGAATGGATGCTAACCGGAACTCCGACGACAAGCAGCCGGAAAAAAAATTAATAAGAAAAAAAGAAAAAAGAAAAAAGAAAAAAATGGAATGTCAATTAATACTGAGTCAGCTAACCGAAACTCCAAACACCCAAGCCACCGTCGGAAAAAAAAATAAAAAAAAAAAAAGTAAATTTTTTTAATAATAAATAAATAAAAATAATAATAATCAAAATAAATAAGATAAAGCAAACCCTAGTTAGAGTTTGAAAATGATAAAAACGGTATAAACTAATTATTTAGATTTATATCAAATAAAACTTACAACAAATGAGATTTACTCAAAAACATACATAAAAAATGCACTTTGGTTTATTCCACACTATGTCAGATATTTATAATTAAGTATATTTATCGTCTAGTATACATCAAATAATATCATCACCAAGATAACATCAACTAATATCATCTAACCATACACTACTCAATCGGCAACACTTATAATTAAATGTATTTATCATCTAATATAAATACATCAAATAATATCATCTCTAAGATAACATCAACTAATTTCTATCTAAGCATACACTACTCAATCCACAATTTAGAGGGTATTTGGCTATGCTTATAAGATGATAAAAAGAGATTATAAGATGTTTAAGAGCTTATAAGCTCTTTCAAAGTGTTTGATAATTTTTTTTAAAAGATCTTAATTATTTTTAACATAAGTTGTTGAAGAATAAATAAATTGTTTTTTAATAAATATTTTTAAGCCACCTTTTTATTTAAGATCTTATAATAAATAAAAATATCAAATGATTTTATTATCCAAACACTTTAAAAATTAATTCTAAAAATAAGATATATCAGCTCTTAAAATACCTTATCAGACGTAAGAGCTTATCAGCTGTTTAAGATAAGCTTAGTTAAAAGAGCCCTAATCAATACTTTCTCACACCCACAAAAAAAAAAAACAAATATCTGAATATGGTGAAGGGTTTAGGCAGATTAGATGAGTGAGTCAGATAAGATATACTTTAGGATTCATTCAAAAAGAAAGAAATAAAAGTTAGATATATGAGATGAAAGCACATGGGAATTCGGAGATAAGACTCCCCTTTAAATCGAATACTAATAACATATTCTTAGTCCCACAAAAAAAGGACTTGTTGATCTTATGCAATTGCTTTATTGTACATGCAACTTATACATACAAAGAAATATATTTTTATAAAAAAAATACTAATGAATTCTTTATTCTTATTTCTTGAGCTTATAAAAACTCATGACTGCGCATTTTGCGGGAGAATTTAATGCTTAGCTCACAAAAGTTTTTGTTAAATGATTAACTTATTTTTACACTATAGTTGAGGATGTCTTTAGTGTTTTGTAGATAGTACATCCACTAAAATATATTAGGTGATCTTGAAGCATTGATCTACATATAATAACATACATTTATACGTATGTATATGTTTAGTGGGTAATAACATACACTTATGTATATGTATGTATATGTTTAGTGGGTGATCTTGAACAATTAATCTACTCATAATAACATACACTTATGCGTATGTATATGTTTAGTAGGTAATAACATACATTTATGCATATGTATATGTTTAGTGGGTGATCTTAAACAATTGATCTACACATAATGACACACACTTATGCGTATGTATATGTTTAATTAGTGGGTAATAACATACACTTATGTGTATTTTTATATTTAGTGGGTGATCTTGAACAATTGATCTATGAATCAGAATCACACAATGTATTGCACCAGGTGTAGCATCTCATAGACCATGTCCTATGTCTTTTAGCATGGTTCGAGGAAATTTTGTAGCTAGATGTTTTATTTTTTTTTCCTTCAGAAAATCAAAAAATGATTTAGGATCTTCTAACAAATTAATTAATATTAAGATTTATTACAATAGACTAGGAAATATCATTTCAATTTCAAAATATTATTATTATTAACATGTCTCTTGAATCTTGATGTCATTAAAGATCCAAATTCATCATTTGCAGTATGCACCCTAGGTTGTTATTTGTTAGGATTTGTAGGGTCATCTAATTAATTCCAAAATTAAAAGAAACTAGTTATTTTGCCGACATCAATTGATTTATAATAAATCAACAATCGAAATAGGATTAAATGTTGGCACAAATCAAATCTTAACATAATTTTTTTGATTTTCCAAATTTTAACGGGGTTTAGAGGGAGAGTATATACATCCTAAAATTAATTATTTTGGTGAGATAAAATCGACACTTCTCAAATAAGTGTAATCTATCTAACTAGTATCTTTCACTGTGCATGCACGAGATAGCATTTTAAAAGAGGTTTATTAGCGGGAACCTTCTCATTATTTGTTTTAATGAATTAAATTCACTTTGTTATTTGCATTTGAGAAAGCTCCTTAACTTCTTATAATCTCATTTTATCCTTACATTATTCCAATTTCTCATCCATCTTACCCACTACTTATATATCGTTCTATCTTCTATTTTTTTTCTTTTTTTCTTTTTAATAAATTTATTTTTTAATAAGTTCTTCATTTTTTTTTCCTGATTGATTTACCACATCATAAACAACTACAAATTACAATAATCAACTACGTTTTTTTTATATAAAAAAAAATCTTTATTTACTAAAACCATAATCAACTACAAATTACATTAATCAACTACAAAATTTTATTATAATCAGCTATAATTTTAATGTACATACAATTGAAAAGAACTATTTATTATAACAAAAACAACTATACAAAAATCATAATCGACTACAAAATCACCAAAAACAGCTAAAAAAATCACTGAAATCAACTATAAAATCACTAATATCGACAACAAATTATTGAAAACCAACTAAAAATTTGCCATCTTGTATCGCGCGCCACTTAACCCTATGAGAAGGATGTCCGCTGATTACTCGAAAGAGCCGTCACCAAACCCTAGCATAATTCCACCATCTACCACAGAATGAACCGCCGCCTCGTCATCAATGTCGCTCGCACCGTTGCCCTATTGCACCGCGCGCGACCGATGACAAATCCTAAAAACAACGGTGGTCTACCCTAGCAGGAACAGTCGATGCGTCGCCGATATATATCTCTACTCTCACAGTCGAACCCTAGTCATTGTGTCTCTCGTCGTAGAAGAAAGGGGGAAGATAGAGAAGTATAGAGGGAGCGAGAACCACCCAATTTTTGTTGCCGGGAAACCACCCTTGTGGAAGAGAGAGAGAGAGAGAAGATCTTTAAAATGACCATGCATTTTGAAGTAGAGTTTTTGGTGGAGAAAAAATGGCATAATAGGTATATTACTATAATTTAGATTTATGGTTAATATCAAGGGTAAATTACACACACACCCCTGAGGTATGCTGAAATAACTTTAAGGTCTATGTGGTATCGATAATTACATTCACCCCGAAACATAGTTAGAAACTCTAATGGGATAATGCATTAGATGCGTTGTTCCAATAGAGTTATAACAGACTATTACTTTTAGTAAGTGGTGGAGACAACATAGAGTTAGGGAGTGACATGGCTCCCCCAACATTTCTTAAATCACCCATAGCGCTATGTTGTCTCTACCACTTCCTGAAACTAATAGTCCGTTAGAAACCTATCGAGATAACGTGTCTAATGCATTATCCCATTAGAGTTTCTAACTATGTTTCAAGGGATGAGTGTAATTACTGATACTACAGAGACCTTAAGTTATTTCATCATACCTGAGGGGTGTAGGTGTAATTTACCCTAATATCAATTTCAAATGAAGGAGGTGTTGCTAAGAGTCAATATAGCATTGGGCGTACATTTTTTTATAAATATGTTTTGAGTGGGTCTCCTTAATTAACCATCTCAAAAGTTAAAAGAAATAATTAATTTAATACATAACAATAACAATTTATAATAAGAAATATATTAGCCTATTATAATAAAACTTATTAGTAATATTTAAATTACACTAACTACATCAATATTCATATAAATTTGACCAAAAGATTATATAAATTTAATTGCCATAATACGGAATTCATCGTTAAATAAATGAAGCAATTAATAAAGTAAAAATAATAATATTTTTTTACAAGGATGACAATAACAAACGAAGCAGAATAACAAAGAAAGATGAAAATTATTCTATTGAGATAAGAAAGGAAGAAAAAAAATTATAAAATTAGGAAGGGAATTGATTTTAGACGAATAAAATATTGATAACCTTTAATCGTTATATATAAAAGAAGTTAACGCTACACAATCCTAATCACTTCTTTGTAATATATGTATATGTATATACATGTATGTGTGCGCGCAACATTCAAAAATTCAATCTTAGTGACAAAGAAAGCACTTTTCTTTTTCTTTATCATGGTGACATGTTATTCTTTGTTTCTTTTACTTTATCCCTCCTTTTTCTCTTACCTTTATCTTCCCACCTTTTCTTTTTCTAAATTTTGGCCAACTTCTTCAATTTTATGTTATATATTAGAAACACATAACATTATTCCATTTTGGATTATCCAATTTCCAACCCCAAGAAGACAAATGGATTTTAAATTTCTCTTTTTATTCCTCCTCTCAATTCTCAATATTGCATGCTCCACAGGTATTGTATGTATGTAATATGTATTATTGATCTCTTGATTTCAGACAGGAAATAACTCTGTCTTGTTTCTATGTATTCAGGGATGTTGTTTCTCTCGACGGTTGAGTATATCGATCAGCAACAACTTCGAAAAGACGAGCAAATATTCCGTTCGTCCCGTAGAACTTTAGCAACAAACACCATTCAACATGACTTCATTAATCCTCCCACCACCACCTTTCCTTCTACTAATCCAGTATCTAATCCAGTAATTAATCCAGTGACTAATCCTCCAGTGACTAATCCAGTAATTAATCCAGTGACTAATCCAGTGACTAATCCAGTGGCTAATCCAGTGACAAATCCAGCAACTAATAATCCAGTGACAAATCCAGCGACTAATCCAGTGACAAATCCAGCTACAAATCCAGCTACAAATCCAGCCACTAATCCAGTCACAGTCACTGTCCCACCGGATACTTCAAGCCCGGGAATCGTCACAGTTCCAGCAGCCACTCCGATGACCGTAATTCCAACTCCGGCAACCCCTGTCACTAATCCGGCAGTGCCAATAACCAACCCAGTTACCACTCCAACCATAAATAATCCCGCACCGGTGACGACTTCTCCGACGACCCCAACAAGCGGCGCTCCGGCGGTGGTGGTGGCTCCACCAGTGGCAGCCGCCAACGCACCGGCGGTTCCAGGACAGAGCTGGTGCGTGGCCAAGGGTGGGGTGCCGGAGACAAGTCTCCAGACGGCGCTAGACTACGCATGTGGAATCGGAAAAGCAGATTGTTCGGCAATTCAGCTAGGTGCAAGCTGCTACAATCCCATCTCACTGCAAAATCACGCATCTTACGCATTTAACAGCTATTATCAGCGGAATCCAACGCAAACGAGCTGCGACTTCGGGGGCACTGCTCTGGTAACCAATGTCAATCCAAGTAAGCATTACGAAACATTTCCAATGTCGTTTCCAATAAAATGTTTCTGATTTGAATTACGAAAAAAGTTTCTGATTTGAATTAAACGGCATTCAGGTTCCGGTTCTTGTATTTTCACAACATGGTCGTCTTCAACAACACCAACAACGGCATCACCAATTACGATGAATCCAACTCCAACTACAGCATCTTCATCTGGAGCAACACCAACACCAATAAGGTAAAGATTACCAGTTTCCATTAACTTAATTATTACCATTTCTTCACTATTAAATGCTTATAAACAAAAATGACATTTTTTTTTACTTCAGCTTTCCAGGAACTCCTCCAGCCATATTGAATGCAACCAACCCTGCTTTTGGAGGGCCCACCATAGGCTTCGGCGAAACCCCTCCAAATCTCAACACTTCGATTTCCATTTCGACTAATCTGAAGCCCTTCATCGGCTACATTATTGTGGTGACATCCATTATCAATTTGGGGGTAGTTTTGTAATTTTTTAAAACCAGTCGAAAGATCAGAAGCCTATCAGTCCAGAAGTACAGTTTTTTTTTTTTTAAGGTGAAGTTCGTTTTGCAGGAGACACAATCAAGAATTTCCAGTGCCCTTATTCGGTTCTCGTAAATCGATAGTCCTACTCTTTCTCGATGATCAATTCGATCATGGCCAGATTCATTTCCACATGTAATACTGTATATGTTCTTGATAAATTAGGGAACTAATCTTTGTAGAGGTGGTAGCACCTTATATATGAAGCAGCTATAAACTAGTAGATAATTACCCCAAAAAACAAGCTTGCAATATTCCCATTTCTTGATTCTCGATTGTGGCCGTACAATGAAAGATACGCTAAAATTACAGATTTATACAAACAAAACTGAATCCTACACATACCACCCTAGTGTAGCTAGTAGCTACTAACCCCATCCGATCCTCATATAATACAAGAGTAGTAATTTAAAATTATATAATAATATTACCGCTTAGCGAACACTACTAAGATGAGCATCGACATTGAAGCTGCAATCTTGAAACCCGGGCTCTCCCAAATACTCTGCTTATCACTGCCCCGAAACGGAGGCACAGCCTCTTGTTTGGCTGCCAGCTCATCTCTTAGTTCCTTCAGAACTTTATCTCTTCGCTCTCCCATCTGCATAATAGGCATAATCAAGATTTGAATAGCCAGTATAAGCCATCACGAACGGCGATTTCGAATAAATAAATAAAAGTTGTCAGGGGGTAAACTTGTACATACCCTTTGAAGCTTGCGAGTTTGAGCTCGTGCTTCATGCAGGCAAAACTCCAACTTCAGAACTTTCTTTTTCAAATCTTGATCTGCCCTATGATGCTTCTCTAACTGTTCAATTAAACATAGTTTTAGAAGTCATTACTTATACAAAGTAGCTAAAGTGATCAAAGGTAAAGAAAGAGTTGAAAAACGAACCTGATCTTCGAGTTCTTTAGTTTTAAGCTTCCAATGAGCAGACATGATCCTTAATTCATCTCTGAGCTTAGCTATTTCTTCGTCTTTTACCTTCAATAGCTTGTTGATTTTTTCGAAATTATTCGGAGACGCCTCACCTAGAATCTTCCGCAGCTCAGAGTCTTCATTTGCTCCAGCCTTGGTTAATGCTTGCATGATGTCATCCTCGATTCTCGCCACCTCATCTTTTAGCTGCATTTGAGAAACCTCTCTGATTCGAAGATCCTTCTGTAGAAGATCTAATTGTTCTCCCAGTTCATTTACACGATTTTCGTGCTCTTTCAAACAGAAGTTTTTCTCTTCTAATTCTTTCACCAGTGCCGAACACCGTAATTGTGCAGATTGGGCAGATATTTCACTTGCATCTGCAGTTTCTCTAGTTGCTATAAGCTGTAATCTCAGTTCGTCCAAGTCTTTGACATACTGCAATAAATATGATATTAATAAATAACTATATCCGTTCTAGTTCTCTTCTGTGGAAGACCAATTAATAATTTTTGTGCATTTTTTTTTTTGCAAATACAAGTGTCGGAAATTGACTCGTTCGAAGATTTTTTTTATGCATTTTTTCCCTTCAATTCAAGTTGGACATCTTACCGGTAGTAATAAAATAAAAGGGGGTCCGGATCTAAGTGAAAACCCAAGAAACAAAAATCGAAAAACGGAATTGTGAAATGTTAACATTTGAATAGGAAAAGGAATGGGTATGAGTAAACAAACGAGGGTAAATTACAAAAACTTCGCTCAGGGTTTGATCGAATTTCGTAATTTACGAAATGCTGTTTATTTTAAATCATTTTAACCAACAAAGTATATCATAATAGAAAAGCATTAACATAAAGTTGGAAAAAAAATCAGATTAATCAATGTTAAAGATTCCTCTTTTATGCAACAACATGCCAACTACAAGGAGACAAGCTCATAGAACCACTCAAGTAACAACACTTAATCCAAGGAGAGACAATTTAATTATATGTTTCAACACATTTGAATACCGTATTCCCACTTCCCGTATCGAACCAAACAAGAAAATCCAAAATGCTCAAAAAAAGCCGATAGCCACCATATTTTGTTTGGCACTATAACCGAAAACTCGTAAATTCCAAATTCAAAAACCAGATCTAAAACTCATCAAAAAATAAAAAATAAAAAAAAAATCATTATATACGAAATATTACCATCTCAGCAGCAGAGGTTGAAGCTTGCAGCTGCAAATTTCTGTCCTCTAAACTCTTCTCCAATCTGTTTATCTCTTTTTCCATGGCTTTCAATTTATTCTCTGCTTCCTGTAAAAATCAAATTAATCGAAAAAAATTTAAATTAATTAATTGACAAGTAACTCTGTGCCTTTAAACAAATGAATTGCCTGAGTTTAGAATTTTTTTTTGCATGCCTGTCTAGTTAGGGTTTCTCGGAGAGAGGTCTGCTCTTGAGAAGCGAGGCGGCTGCGCGCCTCGTTGAGCTCCGCCGCCAGCGACACCACGTTCCGCCGGAAGCTCTGCTTCTTCTCATTCAGCTCCTTCAGCAACGGATCCATCTCCCGCGCCGCCGTCGCCGCTGCTGACATCACTAATCACGTTCAGCAGCCGTTAAATGCTCCTCCGCCGCTGCTGCACTGAAGTCTGTAAATTGAAAGAGGAATTTTTATTCACTCCACTCTTTATTTGTCATTCTCTCTCTCTCTCTCTCTCTCTCTCTCTCTCTTTGCAATCAATGAAGGCAAACCCCCATAAACCACCCACCCCACCCCCCACAACACAGGGCACACACACAAACACGCAATCGAGAGTGCCCTCTTCATGTGGACACATTGCGTGAAGCAATTAATACTTGAAAACAATTTGAGATTTAAACCCCAATTAATTAAGCACTCATCCATCAATCGATAGCTTATTAATTAAATTATGTTGACTATTATTTAATTTACTCTCTGCAGTTCAAAAATTCAAAAACAATTAATTAATTAATAGAGTTGAAAAATGAACAGTAGTACTATTACTCAACCTTCAGTAGAATCGATCGCAGCCGCACATTTATTGCTTTCAATTTTCGAAATGGCGGAACAAATTAGATGCAGTTTCACCCAATTCACATGAACCCTAGCAAATCGACGAAGGCATGCAGATTCAAATACCAAATGTGTGTGTATATAAATGTAGAGAGAGAAAGTTATGAACATGCAGAGAGAGAGAGGAGAGAGAGAGAGAGAGGGGGGTGAAGTTGACAAGACAAAAATAAATGAACAAATGGAACTCGTCTTCCAAAAAGAGAGCGATATTCGCAATATTCAGCTTAAAAAAATACATTATTTGATTGATTTAAATTCAGCGATGCTGAAACGGCGTCGTTTGGTTTGTTGTGTCAGAGGATCGACGGTTGGAAACTGAGGAAGGGAGAAATGAAGGGCTGTGATTAGTGCTTGCCATCGCAAGTGATTAGCACGAGCATCAGGCGCGTTTAAATTAGAAGGCCGGACCTCAGGTTCGGATACAAGTAGAGGAGGTTCGGAGAGTGGGAACCTCGGGTATTGTGAAAATGACAAGATTCGAAACTGGTTCGGATGACCTAAGCGCGGCAAATCTAAAACTGTCCACACTCCACACACAGTACGCGTGTGAGCCTCTTGAAGGATGTATCCAATAATTTAATAATCGGATTAATTAATAAATTAGTTAACAATTAATTTTTTTTTTTTTTGTCAATTTTAATTTGAAAACTACGTCGGTCAAGCCATTTAGATAACATCCTCCACGAAGATATTCAAATTAATTTTCACTATTTCATAAATATCCTGTATTTTTTAATCTTTAATTAAATTATATCCCTTCTGCCATACCGACTTTCCCGTTCAGTGTTTCTAATTATGGAAATTAAAAAAATTAAATCTTAACAATCACTCTCAATTTTATTGGAGATTTCCACAAACGTGAATTACCTTCTCCCAGCATGAAATTGTCTAAACTCCCTATCGATCGTGGTTGTTGTCGCTGGGCTTTTGCTCATAAATAGCTAATGCCAAAAACCGTTTTTTGTTCAGTTCCTATATATTTTTTATTAGTTGTACTACTTATTTTTAAGTTTCTCTTACAATTCACTCCCAAACCTACTTGAAATGTTTGGAATACCCTTCTCTTTAATACAAAATTACACTGCCTCATTCTATTCCTTTAAAGAACGCGTTTTGTGTAAAAAATGTGTCGAACGAAAACACGTATTTCATAGCTGAATACATTTTCTCGTTAAAACGTGCCGAACAAAACAAGTTTTCCGGATACGAAACATCGGTTTGAATTTGAATAAATAAAACGTTGTGAATCCCCACGATGAAGAATTGGCTGACGACGAGAAAAAAAAGAAAAGAGGAAAAAGGAATAAGAAAATATACAAAAATACTCCACACTCGTCTTAAACCTCAAGGCAGAAAAAATATGAAAAGTAACCTGCTTTGAAGGTTCGGTTCTTGCTCTGAAACAATTGCATGTTTGTTTGAAAAAAATATTGAAACCCAATTTGAAAAACCCTAAAATTACACAATAGAAATTTATGCTTTTGTTGCTGTGAGTAAAACACACGTCTTGTTTTTTCATCGAACTTAACGATTTTGAGTATTTAAGTGAATGGGTTTTGTGATTACACATGTTTAGTATGTCGTAAGAGACATGTGCATTCACACCCAGGCCCTTTTGGTCAAAAAATTCTGTCTTTTTGGTTTTTTCGAATTTTGATTATTAGTTTTTAAGGTGTGGCAGTGGACTAAATTACAGAGCATTTTCGTATTCCCAGAGTAATTATGTAGTGATTAGGTTCTTAACCGTTTGCATATTTTGTGGTGTTTGTCGTATTCCCATAAATGGGTCCAAAAAGAGAGCCGGCTAACAACAAGAGAAAAAGGGAAAATGAGACTCGATGCTCCCCTCATCATTACATGAAAACGACGACCGAAGTAAAGGCGAGAATGAGACCCTTACAACATGAGGCATTCAGTTCAAATCCATTTGGACATTATATAGACATGCCCAAACTGGGGCACAACTTTGCAAAGGTACACAATTTGATGAGGAGATATAATGTTGATTCAAATGAACTTGAGTTCGGGGATAGCAAACGTCCAATTGCAGTCCCATGTGATCCAGTCGAGTTTTCTACGACTGGGATTATACAAACACGGGCATGCAATTACATCAATCTGAAAACCGACAGCTCTTGTCCTATTGTTGCTAACCTCTTTGATGGAGATCTTAAAAATTCCAATCGAAATCGTATTGGTACTATACTGGAAGAGTATGTAGATAAGGATGAAAAAATGGAAGACTTCATTCATTTGTACACGTTTTGTAACTGTTTTTTTGTTTCCAATCACTAGCCGGACATGCATCCATTTTATTTATCATTATATTAATAAAGTGCAGCATATAGGATTGTTTGCATGTACTATTGTTTATCATTCAAATGTCGCTTAACGTTGTTGATTGCGCGTCATATTTCAACGGTTTCACTATTGGACTATTTGGTACGTTTTATTTACTTCATATGTACTTATTCGTATAAGAACAATCCAATGATGAGTTACAATTGTGCAGGCTTAGGTGCATGAGAGGATACCTTCCATAGCCGATCTAATATTTGTTGACATACGTGCTCGCCTTCTACGGTAGAGGGACAGCAGGATCCCCGTTGCAAGAGAAGAAGCTAAGTCAACATTCAATGCAATAACAAAGTTTCGGGTGAAGAATTGCATTCCCCGAATAGGAGAAATCTGCTGGATGTTATACATCTACAGTTGGTGGTTTGTCGTTGGATACCTCTTGTCTTCAGGATAAAGAATAAGAAATTGCATTGTTGATGAAAACAATAGAAAAATTGAAGCAAAAGAAGAAGACATTCGAAAGAAGAAGTCATTCAAATGAAGAAGAACCGCCAATTCTATCTATATACATGTCCAGTACCAGTTATATACGATACATACATTGAGATATACGATATTACTCATCATGTAATTTGACACATTGTGAAGGAATTTGAGACGTCGATACAAGTGTTTCACGATGATACAAAGGGAAAGACGACCTGAAATAAAGAAATTGAGAAAAAAGAAACATAGGTCAAAAGAACTGCAAGAAAGAAGAAAGTTGATAGAGTAGATTACGAGGTGGTCACTGGAGATGATGAAGGGAACGAGATACAAGAAAATCAGTAGGGGGACAGGAAAGGAGAGAAAAATGACAATAAAGAAGAGGAAGAGGGGGAAGCGGGGGACATTAATGATCTTGACACCACCGTACATGTAAGTACATTATGGATACTGTTGACATACTGCTGTTATGCCTCTTCTTTGTACAATATATTCATGTTCTTTATAAAACATATAAGTTTGTTGTATAAAACATATACGTGGTTTTGGTAAAACATATACGTGTTCTTTGTAAAATATATACGTCTTCTTTGTAAAACATATACGTTTGCTTTGTAAAATATATACGTTAGCTTTGTAAAACATAATCTATGTGCGGAAAGACTTCGTGATCATTCAACATAAACAAATCAAGGTGGGATGATGAAAATGAAAAAAGTAATCATAACGGGGAACAGACACTACAAGAAATTGTCAAATTCGCAACAATATGTTTCGTTGCCAGAAGACTTGAATTTCCTTGCCAATTCCTTTTGCAACAAAATTATTTTGTTGCCACCTTCGTTGCCGTTTCCTTGTCACTAAAAGTTCGGGGCAACGAAAATGGAAAAAGCGTTGTCAATACATGCATTATAGACAACATTGTTATATCGTTGCTACATAATTATCGTTGCCAATGCATTAGGTAATAACAACGAGTCTATTTTGTTGCCATACATATGTCGTTGCCAATTCATTAATTACTACCAACGAATATATTTTGTTGCCACAAATCTATCGTTGCCAATACATTTATTAATAACAACAAATTTATGTCGTTGCAACATATTAATCGTTGCCAATACATTAATCATTAAGAACAATTGTATGTCGTTGCCACATATTTATCGTTGCCAATACATGACTTATTAACAACGAATTTATTTCATTGCCAGTATTTTGTAGCTAATGCATCCACTATCAACAACAATTTTATTTTGTTGTCAAAGATGTATACAATAGACGACAATTATTTATGTTTCAAGAACTATCTTTATTTCGTAGACAAAATATACTCTTTTAGGCAACAAAATTATTTCGTGCCAATAATAAGTTTTTCACAACAAATATATTTCGTGCTAGAAGATACTTTTTCACAACAAAATATATTGTCATTAAAAAGAAAATTAGGCAACATAAGCTTTTGTCGGCTAACAAATAATAACAATTGACAAATATTAATTGAAATAATTTGTTTATGATTTAAATATTAATAAATTATTATTTTTATTATTTTATTTGTCTACATAAATAATTGAGCCATTTTTTTTATAAATAGAAAAATAAATTTATATTAACACGATATTAGTAAGGAACAAATTAATTATCTAAAACTAATTAAATTGAAATTAAAATGTAATAAAGTTAGAACAAAAATCCAAATATTAATCCAAAACAACTAAAACCAAATGCCATTCTAAAACAATCAAATAGGAACATTGTATCTAATGAAAACTAAAACATAAGTGTCTTGATCTAGAACAAAATGAGAGGGGACCGACGAAGCATATTTAGCATTGCTTTTGCGCACTTCAAACAAATTATTTCCGAAAATCTGCAAAACAATCACAGTACAATTAAACTGTTAGTTACAAATTATATAAGACAAAAAGTAAAATATTGAAATATTACCATGAAGAGTCACTCATATGTTGAGACCCAAACATTTTTTGAAAGAGAAGATCATGCTTTGCAATAGTTGATTATGAGGTATTTTCTTCGCATTTCCATTGTTAACTTTCCATCTAGAAGTCCCACAAACTGGACACTCTTGAGAATTTTCATACTCTTTCCAGAATAAGGCACAATCATACTTACATGCATGGATTGCAATGTACCCCAACCCCAAGTCGTTTAAAATTTTTTTGGCCTCATAGTATGATTTTGGAAGAGTTTCGCCGTGAGGTAAAGTTTTTTTTAGCAGTGTTAACATCATGTCAAATGACTTATTACTCCATTTATTATAAACTTTTAAATGGAGTAAATGCACAATAAAAGATAAAGTTGAGAACTTTGAACAACCTGG